GCTGAGGGAGCGGCGGCCGCAGGTGAGCGGGGAGGGGGTGGCAGGTGAGCCCCGGGGGTGGGCACGGGGCTGCTGGGGGGGCGTGGGGGCCATGGAAGGGGCGGGGGGCGCGACCCACGCGTGTTCCGTGGAGCTGGGGCCACCCCCGCAATGTGGGCGCTGAACTCGGGGTTCGGTGTTGGCAGGTTTGGTGTTTGTTAGTGGGAATAGTGATTTCTGAGAGCGATCGCGGGCTGGGGCTCTTGGATTTGATCCCTTGGAGCGAGGCCAGCAAGTTGATGGGAGGGATGCAGCACCTCTGCTGCGAGGAAAGGCTGGGGAAATTTGGATTGTCCAGCCTGGAGGAGAGAGGGATCCGGGAGACCTAATGGGGCTCTCTCAGTGCTTGAAGGGAGCCCGCAAGAAAAACGGAGAGAGACTTTTTACAGCGGCCTGGGGTGACAGGATAAGGGAGAACAGCCTCACACTGAAAGAGAGTGGGGTTAGATTAGATATTGGGAAGAAAATCTTCCCTTTGAGGGTGGGGAGGCCCTGGCACAGGGTGCTCAGAGAAGCTGTGGCTGCCCCTGGATCCCTGGAAATGTTTAATGCCAGGCTGGATGGGGCTCTGAGCACCCTGGGCTAGTGGAAGATGTCCCTACCCATGGCAGGGGATGGAACAAGATGAGCTTTAAGATCCCTTCCAACCCAAACCATTCCATGATTCTATGAACTTCCACCCGTGGGTCTGCAGCAACCCATGGGGTTGGACACAAAGGTCCAAGCTGAGGACACCCCTCCAAGACCCAGAAAACATCTGCAGGGCAGGGCCACCGTGGCCACGACCTCCTGCCACCACCCTGCTGCAGCATGGCCGGGCTCCCTGGGCACCTCCACTCAGGCTCAGTGAGGAACCCTCCTGACTCACGGTCGGACCAGACCCCCCTTGGCAGATCCAGGTGGCCAAAGGCTTCTTTTGGGACCGATATCCCAGCTTGGGAGCTTGTGGCCTGGCTGCTCCCTGGCCCATCCCTCTGGGAGATGCTCCAGGCTGGAGCGCTGGAAGGGAAACCCTCCTTGCTGTGGGCCCCGAGGGCTCTGTCCCTTCCTCCAGGACTCTGTCCCTTCCTGCAGGGCTCTGTCCCCTCCTCGCTGGCTCTTTCCACTCCTCCAAGGGTGTGTCCCCTCCAAGGGAATCCCAAATGGGAATGTCCCTGCTGCCCCTCTCCAAGCTCTCCCACGCTCGGGTAGCTGCATCCTCCCTCCTCGGCCAGCGCTTGCTTGTTTCTGATCTTGGATGTCATCGAGGGTGGAAAATGTGACAGGAAGGAAGGGAGGCTTTTTTTCCCTCCTGCTAAATATGGACTGACATTAAAAATCCAAATACTGTCGTGAAAGGAATCCCAAGCTCTGTTTGTGGAGGGAGAGAAAACGATGTTTTCTGCCTTTTCAATTCCAGCTGGGAAGTTTCGCAAGGAGTGGTGGAGTCCTTGCCGGGAGCCTCAGGAATTTACTGAGCTTGTTCACAGGACGCTCTCCCAGCGTCTTATGCTAAAAAAAAAATTAGTCATCCCTTTCTCTGCCTGCCCATGGCTGGGGGGAGCTTGCTGCCAGCATGCAGGATGCTTGGAAATATTTAAGGATTTTTTCCTCCTGTACAAGGAGTTCTAGAAACGACAGGAAATAAAACTGCGGCCCCAACAGGAGTTTTTCATCTTTATTTTAATTCCTGTTGCTGCAGCAGCCGGTGGCAGGGAGGGGAAGGATGTGCTGGGGGGGGCTGCAGCCAGGTTTGTAAGGAGGATTTGTCTGTCTCTGTCAAGCATCAGATGCAAACTCGTGCCGTTATTCCCAGAGAGACTGGGAAACAGGCTTGATGTGGAGCTCTGGGAGGAGGAATGGGATCACAGGGATGGCCATGGCACTGCCAGCTCTCTGATGGATTCTGCTGTGGCCAGGTGAAGAGGCAGGATGATTTTTGGGGAACAGGGACCCCAAATCCCCCAGGACCTGGGGGTGCTGGGGAGACAGACTCGGTGTTTGTGCTGGGCAGAAAGTGGGCACTGCCACCTTCCCATTCCAGTGTCTCTTTCCATCCCTGTTGGAGAGCTTCCTGGGGGAGTGCCTGTGGGAAGCTGCAGGGTTTTTGCCTGATCTTTATTAAAACAGTTGGTTAAAGCAACTGGTTGGTTACAGCTGTCTGAAGGTGGTGGAGTCATCGGCCCTGGAGGTGTCCAAGGAGCAGCTGAATGTGGCACTCAGTGCTCTGCTCTGGTGACAAGGTGGGGATTGGTCACAGGTTGGACTTGTGATGATCTTGGAGGTCTTTTCTAACCTGAATGACTCTGGGATTCTGTGAAATCAGTGGGGGGTCCTGGGAGGTGCTCGAATAGATATTTCCCATTTCCATGGTGCTGGTGCTGCTGTGTTGTTCCCAGACTAAGGAGACACAGCCCTGCTTTCCTGAAACATCCCTCACAAATAACTGCATCTCTGTGCTGCTCCGTGATACTGGTCCATGCCCAACATCAACATCCTCGTGGATGAATGGCTTGAATTCCCCCTCTCCCTGTCTCCTCCTGCTGCCAGCCTACATCTGTTCTGCTCCAGTCCTCTGTGTTTCCAGCAGGGTGGTGGATCCCAATCCAGAGGCTGTGTGACCACTGTTGTGTGATGCCTGAAAACACCGGGGAGTGTGGGATGGGATATTTTCTGTGGAACAGAGCACCTGTAGTGCTTCCATAGGGTCAGGAGTGGCACCAGCTGCTGCCTGGTCCTCCCCTCCTGGTGTGACACGGGCAGGAGGTCGGTCATCCCTGGCAGCTGCTCTCTGGGCTCATTCACAAATCGCATTTTCCTCTGGAAATAAAACAAATCCCCAGGCTTTCCTCTCGTGGTGGAAGTCATTTGAAGGCGAGCAGGTCCGTAAGCATCCCCAAAGCCTGCAGACAGGAAGAGACACTTGAGCAGAGAGGTAGGAAATGTCCGCGTTGGGAGCTGATTCATCTCCTACTCTTAACTCTTTCCCCCCCGATTTCACTGGGATCCAGCTGGTTTCCTTCAAAGCTCAGAGCCCAAGGAGGCTGTGGCTGGATCACAGAATGCTGCTGGGTTTTGTGTTTGTGTGGTTTGGGGTGGAAAAGGAGCAGGGTGTGTGGTTATCCGAATGGGCTAACCAGAACATCAGCACTCACATTAGGGAGGATTAATATTTAATACATAGGCTATGAACCATTGTGCTTAATCACTATCTGAAGGGCTTAGGAAGAGATTTAGTGATAAGCAAGTGATTCCTGAGCTGTCCAGAATGATTTCTTGCATCTTCCTGTGGAGCAGCTGGTCCTGGGTATCGCTGGAGGCTGGTGCAATCCTGTTCTTCCTGATGTCTCCAGTTTTTGTAAGCGGGTAGAGTGGCTTTCATCACGAGTGTTTGCTGCTCATTAAACTCCCAAATACTCTGGAAACCCTTTTTCTCTGATGCAGCTCACGTGGCTGGACTGTCAGCAGTGGTACCTGTCAGCACTTGAAACTTTTCTGTGTGGCCAAAGCTCATGGGAAACATGTCGTGGGATCCATGGACATTGTCACTGTCACTGTCACATGCATCTGCCCAGGCACTAGTGAAGAGGCAGCTCATTCATTCTTTTGTCTGTCTAACTCCTTTAGGAGGCTTTTCATGTCATCTCCAGCTCCCACCATGGTCCTGGAACGCCCCATGCTGCTTTCCACAGCTGCTCCATGTTGCCTTACGTGGTTTTTTTCTGCAGCATGAGGTGTTTTGTAGTACAGCAAGGTGGGGGCTGCCCCTCTGGGAAGGAGATTGCTTTGTGCAGGGAGGAGGTGATGGTGGGGACTGCTGTGTCCAAGGATGGTGTCCTCAGCACAACAAGGACTTAAAGTGACTCCAGAAAAAGCAATGAAGGTGCTCAAAGGGCTGGAGCCCCTCTGCTCTGGAGCCAGGCTGGGAGAGCTGGGGGAGCTCATCTGGACAAGAGAAGGCTCCAGGGAAAGCTCAGAGCCCCTTGCAGGGCCTGAAGGGGCCCGGGAGAGCTGGAGAGGGACTGGGGACAGGGATGGAGGGACTGGACACAGGGAATGGCTTCCCACTGCCAGAGGCTGGGTTAGACAGGATATCAGAAAGAAATTTTTGCCTGTGAGGGTGGGGAGGCCCTGGCACAGGATGCCCAGAGAAGCTGTGGCTGCTCCATCCCTGGAAATGTTCAAGGCCCGGCTGGACAGGGCTTGGTCTGGTGGAAGGTACCCATTGCCATGGCTGGGGGTTGCAATGAGAGGAGCTTTAAGATCCCTCCCAACCCAACCCATGCTGTGATTCCACGATTCTGTACCAGAGCATTCCAGTAATGCATCTCCAGAGCCACATGTCCTGCAGGTTTGAGGGTGTCTCCATGGAGGGAAGCCCTCCTTTGGGCTGCAGGAGGGTGTGTGCTTGCCCCTCCCTCCCTCCCTGCCCCAAATCAGAGCTCTCCTGGCTGGGAGCATCAGCCACAGCTTTCAAACCCACCGTGCTGTGGTTGCTTGTGTGGTACCTCTGTGTTCATGGCAGCTGCAGTTTTGATGGTGGCAGTCAAAACACCTGAGTGTGGGTTGGGTTTTGGCATCTTGGTCATGCAGAACATCCTGGTGTCTGCTGTGACAGGCATGGAGGTTGGAAATCTGTTTAAAATTGGGACTACTTTTTTCCCCCAAATTCTAATTTCTAATTCTTCTGTGGAAGAATTAGAGGATCAGAGAATGGTGTGGGTTGGAAGGGACCTTAAAAGTCATCTCCTTCCAACACCCTGCTAGGGGGAAGGGCAGGGACACTTCTCACTAGCCCAGGTTGCTCCAAGCCCTGTCCAACCTGGCCTTGAGAATGCTCCTTTTATTCTCTGTGCAAACAAACAGATCACTTGCTTAGGCAGCAGCGACTCTTTATTCCAGAATAATTTGTTGTCCTAATTCCTTCCTGTTGAAGCAACTCCATTTTGCATGGAATAATTAGCACTAATTTGGGCCTGGGATGGAAAACAAGAGTTCTCTGAC